CAGCCGGGAACCCTAAGTAATTATTAATTCCGTTTCGAGGTTTCCTACATAAAAAACCCAGAAATTTTAAATTAATTTAGGAGTGTTTATTACAATTCGAAATAATATTATTTGGCATTTATTTTTGAAGATTATCTCTTTCAAATGTTGGCCACGGCTATGTCTCAGATGGTCCATCCGTTGAGTCCAATTTTCGATGACTCATTCGAGCTTTTCGACTGGTAACTTGCGAATGACACAAATCGGAATTGTTCGCTTAGACTTCAGACTTTACACCCACAGGAAAAAATTTAACGGTGTAATATCACACAATCTTGGGGGCTAACCCCCCGAAGTGTTGTCTGAATAAAACCACTGATTGATGCGATGTGTGGGAATTCTTGGAAGCCATGTCGCCTGGGAAGGTCGTCGCACAAGCTGTAATTTTTATGCCTTTACCTCTACTTGGATCACGCGTTACAAATACCAATATAATTTCACCTTAGTTATTTGTTTTTTATTTGCTCATCAGTTGTGTTCTCATAATGTAAAACTCATATTTTTGTTTTAATGTGATTTAATTTAGTATTTTGATATAAATTTTGGTTATACTCTTTTTAAGTTATTTTTTGTGACAGTTTTCTGATAGTGAGATGACACTCGGAAAAATATGGTGGTGACGTTTTCTTGTCGAAAGCCGATCAGACAAATGGCGATCTCACCAGAAATTATATTTTTCCTTTGTTTCCTTGTTTGTTCCTTTTATTAGCAGCAATTGCTTGTCGCAGCCGTGCCAAACATTATAACAAACGATTTCACTTTGTTTCGCAATATATTGCCGACAACTATTTGTATCCAATGTTTTACACTATAATTTAAATATGTAATGGGGAAAATGCAATATAAATTATACAAATAAACACTTCCTCATGCATATCATCAACCTGAGGAAAGAAAACGCCATTCAATCAATAGCATTTACGGACGGCCTTCATGGCTCTATATTCTACTCAATTTAAATGATAAATTATTTCACTTACATATAATACATATGTGCACTTGTGTTTATGGATGTTCACACGATTACAAGTCTTTTGTGCGCGGTGTCTTCGCAATTGACTGCTAAGCGCCAGCGTCACATTTGCACTCGTCTTTCATCCCCATCCACCCACCTTACGAGTCCCCACTATTTTGCGTGTCTGCGACTTTTATTCATACTTGAAAGGGAAGAAAGAAATTGCTTAGTGCCAAATATACATACATACAAATGAGTGCTGCGATAAATACGCAATGTCTTGAATTTGCTGTGAAACTCATTTGTTTGAATTCAACTTGACTCATCGACCTTGTGCGGGTTCCTCGGCATTTATACTGGCGTATGTGACACATTTATTCGGCGCGAGCCAAAAGGGCATTTACCGCAATTTCATGCATTTACACACGTAGACGTACATACAGATGTGCAAAATCACTTGCTAAGCAAAATTTCGATTTTTCCGATTTCTTATAAATTTGATAAAATAAAATAATTATAAAATATGAATCAGTAAATAATATTACTTAGCTGCAATATATATTTACATGTGAGTGTCAACCTTTTGTGGGCAGATTGAATGAAATCATAATTTGCATAAAAAATAATATGGCTCCTTAAACATTTAACATTTTAAAATATAAAATTTAAGTGATTTAACATTTTAAAATATAAAATTTAAATGTTTATGCACTGTGGCGACCATTTAAAAACGTTGAAGCATTTTTGAGAATAAAATATAGGATCATATTTATTTTTCAAAGCAAAAAGTAGTTATAGTAAAGAATTTTAATAATGAAATCTTTTACAATATTATTAAATTTTAATACTCCATTACATTAAAAACATATTTTCAATTGTTTCTACAATCTTGAGTGGACATACTTATTTTTATTTACTGCAAACTTCAACAATAAAGTCAATATTTTATTTTATTGTTTATTTCTTTTATAATTTGTTATATATAATTTTAGCAAATTGGTAAAACACGGTTAGTTCAGTTGCAGCGAAGCTATAATACCCTTCACAGGTTCCAGTTTTCCTCACATGAACTTAATTTCTTAATTTGGTATGACAGCTAAATGCTATAGTGGCCCGATCTAAATAATTGCTTCGGAGATTGAACCGTTGCTTCCGACCATAGGTCACGGATAATTTCTTGAAGATATCTTGTTATTTCCAGTCCAGTTTGTATGGCTGGTTTTTGCAATAGTGGTCCAATACTGGCGGTTCCGACAAAATAGCAGCTTCTTGGATAGGGGGCACACTGAGTGGATGTTTAAAGCCGAGCCGAGCGCATTTTCCCATTTATGCAGCACGCGTATTTACGCTCAGCTCCGTTTTAAGCGTCCACTCTGTGGGAACCTTTAGGATATGTTCAGAATTTAAGGTCGACATCTAAAAAATTAACGGACTAGTTCGTGTATATACAAACGAACAGACACACGGTCGTGGCTAAATGGGCTCAGCTCGTGAATTATTGTGGCAAACTTAATCTACCTTGGTCAACTTAAATCGATACTTTTACGTATTTTAATACAAATCTTTATTATCGCTTTCTAAGTAACATCCTTGAGCCTTGGGTCAGAACACACATGCTATCACTTTTTCTAATTTTCCATACATACATTATTCCAAGCCTCGGCTGGGATGGTTTTAAGTGTATACAGCCAATAACTTTTAACGGCTTCAATGAACTCATGGCGAGTTTTCCGAAGCGATTTTTCCGTTTCGAATACCAAAATCTGACAAATACGGTCAGTGAGCGATGACTCTCGTTTCGCGATTGGGCTATTACAGTCTATTACAATCTTGCTGGAATGTGATGGCGCATTAACTGCCCAAGAGACTGCAGGTTTACATCGTACGGCTTCACGTAAACGCTTTAAAACAGTCTATCCTTATTAATCGTTTGATTCTGTAGAACGAATGAACATCCCTTTTCATATTTGACTGATTCTTTGACGTGGTTTTTTTTAGGATTCGGCTCATTTTTGGTGCGTCATTTTCTAGTTTCGACGTCTTATTTATAAATCCACGTCTCGCTACCCTTAATGATGGCTTTGATAACTGTAGGGTCCTCAGCTATGTTTTCAAGTATAGTACTACTATAGCTTATATATACTACTACTATTATATAAATATATCAGAATCATGTCCTTTTAAGGAATATGTTTTTATTTGGCAAAATTAGCATGGATTATTGTCTAAAGCAAAGGTTCAATCTCCGAAGAACACCTTTACATATGTATATATAGATCAAAACTGAGCGACCAAAATTTAGTTCTAGTAGGAGATCCTTTGTATTTGTGAAGGGTATTTTTGCTTGGGTGGAGTCCAAGTGATAGTAGTGATAGTATAAGCAAACGAAACTACATCGCATTTTCAAATAATTATTTGACTGTTCTCGAAGTGCATATAAGTATATGTATGTATGTTTCGGATCATTATCAGCTTGAAGAATTCAATTTGAGGCATGTTTTTTCTTCGAAAGTGTAGAATGAAATTACGCTGTTGTTTAAATTTGCCACTTTATATGTATGTATGTGTAGTAGTTATCAAGGTGTGGACGAAAAATCTATGCCAAGATAGCGGCTGTTTCAATAAGAGCGCTACAAAAGCTTTTTTTTTTTTTATAAAACAAAAGCGGTTAGGGTTATGCTATGAAAATACGTTCGATGCTATTATGTTTGGAACTTGATTTCTTTTTACATGGCTACCACGGGCCCGCCTGCGAAGGCCAGATGCTGAACCCAATTTTTTTCGACGGTTTCTCCCGATACTGTTGCAATTTCACGTTCGATATTCATACGAAGTTCAACAATCGTCGCTGGCTTGTTGGCATATACCATATATTTGACGAAGCCCCACAGGAAATGGTATAACGGCGTCAAATCGCACGACAGAGATGGCCTATTGATTGTGCCATTTCGTGAGATAACACGTTCACCAAACTTGGTTTTCAATACATCGATTATGACATTGGCTGTGTGGCTTGTGGCGTCGTCCTGTTGAAACCACATATTGTCCAAGTCCATAACAGCCAATTCGGGCCAAAAATATTCGGTTCCATTCCATTCACAGTAACGTGGCGGTCTTGATGATCCCGGACCGTAGGACCGTTACCAATGACGCCGCCGGCCCATAAACAGTACCAAATCGTAATTTTTTCGGAATGCAAGAGCGACTCATGGAGTATGTACGAATGTTGTGAATTTCACGGGAATAAATAATTTCATTGATATCCCTTGAAACAATTTCTATTTTTTTCACTTCGTAAAGCTTAGCTTGAACATATGTATATATAGTACATACATACATTTATTTTATTTATTTTTATTTACTACTTTTGTGGTAATCTAAGTATAAACTGTTGATGTGTGTGTGTGTGTGTACTTTCCAAGCCGCGATAACCTTTAAACCTCTTAAAACGCGGACATTTTGATTGTTGGCTCTGCACACTTTCAGACAATTTTTGTTTTGTTTTCATGGACTTGGCTTATCTCATTTTTGTTTTCCACTTCATTTTCAAGCATTACTTTGCAATGTTAATACCGTTAATTTTTCACAACAGCTGCCGTACTTTGCGCTTTATTGCTACTTTTTTTGTTTTTTCCTGTCTACTAACTGGAAATCGTGTGAGTCAGGTGAACAACCTACTACGTATGAAAGTATACCTATGTATGTGTGTGTGTATATATGTATCTATACAGCGCCAAACGCTTCTTATGTATTTCGTTTTTGTTGTGATTTACTTCATAAATGCTTGAGCATTGTCGAGGACAGAATTGGTTTCATGTTGCATATTCCGTTACTTTTTATTTTGTTACGCAGCTGTCATCATTTGATGCTGTTGAGCTTTTAATCCACACTACTCATGAGAACCACCCAAGAATTTCGTAAATTTTTACACATTTTATTGGTATTATTTCTTACTTGAAGTGTTACATACTTTTCTTATACATATAATTTAAACTTATGGCGGCTAAGTATTGTTCTATATTATAAAGATACATTAACATAATGACAACATGTTTTAAAACTTTCTAAGATGTTTTCGGGCAAGTGACCGTGGTTGTCTCAAACTTTAGTCGAAAGGCCTAATTTTCGACCATTTTTTGCAGCAGTCGGGTCCGTATGTCAGCGAGGTATTGTCTTTTCCAAGGAATAACTTGTTTCATCTGCTGCTTATCGGCGTGGACAAGTGACGGCACATACATATCTCCACAGGTCCACGACACGAGATAATGTACCCACCAAAAGTTTCAATCAATAACTTAATTGTCTCGTTGGCTGTATCGCATATAGCGCCGTCTTGTTGAAACCAAAGGTCGTCCACATCAACATCCTGCAATTGAGACACGAAAAAAACCATTAAACATGAATCATTTTTGATTATTAATTTTTATATAAAAAATAAGTACAAATATAAATAACCCAAAGTGTGGACTTAGTTAGACCCAAAATATCAATCGATGTGCTAAGGAATGTCCTACCGGCTCTAAACGAAAATAACAATGCACTAAATGATGACTTAGTCAACTCTATATTTTAGGTTAGGTTAGATGGCTGATCCCTTTCACTCAAATTTTTAACGAGGGCATATCTATTACATAAAATCTCCCTTTACATATACAAAATTAATATCAATATACAAAATGTTTCGGTAACTCCGAAAATTATCAATAGTAAAGAATTTAAAGAGTGTAAATAAAAAAAAAAAAATATTCAAAAATCGAACTAGTATTTTTGAAATATAAACTATTTTTTGAAGATCCAACTTTGACTCTTTATAGCAAATGTCCTTTTCGAGGTTCTCCACTTTTTTTTAAAAGAAATATCGAGAAACCTCAAATGCAATGGGCAATTTTTTTTTAACATTCGAAAGAACATTCTTTGCCATTTCTTTTTTGAAGCTTATATCTTTCAAATGTTGGCCGCGGCTATATTTTATATGATCCATCCATTGAGTCTAATTTTCGATTTCTCGTTCGAGCATTACGACTGGTGACTGCTTGATATCACACGATCTTGTTGGCCAATCGACCGGCTCAAAAATCAAATTATCTGCTCGGCAAAGTGTACTCTCAAGAAATCAATTGATTGATGTATGGGAAAGGGTGCCGTCTTGTTGAAACCAAAATTCGCCAAGGACACGAGCTTCAATTTCACCATGGTCGCCATTCATCAATTCCATCGGCCCACAAACCACACCAAGCCGTTGTCTAAAGTCTATGCAACAATCTTGCTTCGATTCAGGCAATGGAGCAAAACATCGCTCCAACGAATTATCGAAAACAGGACTCAACGGATGGACCCTCTGAGACGTAGTCCAGGCCAACATTTAAAAAGAGATAATCTTCAGAAAATAAGTGTCAAAAAATGTTCTTTCGAATGATAATAAACATTCCCCATCAAATTTGAAGTTTCTGACTTGTTACTTTTAAAAAGTAGTAGTCTTAAATAGATCATCATTAAAGTGAGTTATAGGAATGATTTTCTTCTGAAGAATCTTTTTAATTTCTGAATAGCTTCGCTGTAATCGAAGTTAACGCTTTTTCTTGTTTTGTTAAAAGTAAATTTTTAAATGTTATAACTCGAAGCATATTTCTTTGTATACATTTCAAATATTTTCCTTTTATTATATTATTGCTTTTGTTCAGCATTTGTCAAAACCTGTAAATAGCAAATTTGTGTTTTGGCTTGCAAAATTATTATTTTTGTTTTGCTATTTATCGACGAACGACATTGCATTGCCTTACAACCTGCATTACCTTAAACTTTTTACTACAATTAGCTTAATTAAAATATGCTGTATATATGTATGTATGTATATGGCGTCGCAAAATATAACTTTTCAATGAAACACCGAAACGGTTCCATGAGCAAACTTCTTCAAAAAATTGTATAGTGATTTCCTTTGTTTTGCTTTGAATTCCCCCCCAATTTAATAATTTCAAACACCAACAAAGTCATCTGCTTTGTGAGTTTTTTGTTTTTGCGTTGTGATTTAAACAGGTTTCGAATGTTGTGCGCTAATCGCGGAATTTAGTGCATGAACTCATACTTGAGGGGGAAATAGCAAACTCAAAACGCGCTTTTGTGCAACGCCAAACACACACACACACACACTGCAGCTCCGAAGTCTATTTTGTTACAGTCAAAAGCAAAAGCTTTTTAGCTTTCGCTTTTCTCGTATATTTTCGGTAAATATTTACCGCTTTTTAGACACAAATAATATTAACAAGTAAATATAATATGTAGGTGAACAACAAAAAATGCTGCGTTTAATTCGAGGTTAGGTTTAAGGAAGTTATATTGAACTTAATTTATATGGTGTAATAAAAGAAGAAAATGAAACAGCAAATAAAACAAGCTGATTTTAATCACTTTATTTCATAACAGTTTAATTTCTTTTGCCACTTTTCTGTATCTGTTTTTATTTTATTTTATGCTGTCTTTGTGCTTTTTATTTAGCCGTATGCATACGTATGTACGTAACTATAAACAGTTCTTTAGTCCAGCATTATTATTTACTCTCTCTATCTCTCATTAGCAGGTGTTTTCCAATTCAATAAACATGCGTTATTATGTCTGTATGCGCTCACATTAGAAAGCTAAATATTTGCAATAAAATTTTTCAAATTATAATTACAACGTTGTTAATTGCTTAATTCAATATATTTATTTCTACTCTGTGTAAATGCGAACAAAAAGCGAAATTCAAAAGTAATAATGCGCAGTGGATAAAATTATTTCCATAATAAAGGGGATTTCGAACTCTAATAAAAATAATTATAAAAGAGATTTCGCAAACGTTTAGGTGCTAGAAAATACACTGAAAAATTGACAAGCTAACTGTAAATTGGCATCGTTGAAAACAGAGCTCGCAACAATTATACCCTAAAGAGGGTAGATTAAGTTGCCGTATAAGTGCTTTTTCAGCTTCCAGTGGCCAGTGTAGGATGCGACAAGAAGACTGAATTTGTCCCCAGGGAGCTTGATTACATATTTAAACCAGCTGATATTTCGTGTGCGGAATCATTGTGAATGTTGAAAAAGTCTTACGGTGATTCAGTCTTATCAAAAATAGAAAGGTACAAAGCCTGCAAAGACGGTTGCGAGATCGTTGAAGACATTCCTCGTTTTGGACGACCTTCAACCTCTTCAATTGCTGAAAATATTAAACAAGTGAAAAATATGGTGCTTGAAGATCAGGCAATTGTTAGAGAGATGGCAAGAGAGCTCCACTTCTCTCGCGAGTCCATTCGAATGATTTTGGTGGTTATTTTGGGCATAAACGCTTTCTTGCTCGACTCGTCTCGATCAAGCTAAATTTAGTTTCACAAAGTGTACTGTAATAGGAGCCAAAATAATAATAATAAAAAAAAAAACAAAAAATGAAAAATAAAAAATAAAAAAAACACGCCAGAGATGCAACAAATTAAATTGATGCTCATTGTTTTTTTTTCTCGATATTCGTGGCATGGCGCATCATGAATTTTTTCCGGGAACGCGGTCAATAAAGAGTTCTATTAGACCATATTGAGGCGTTTGCGTGAGAACGTCCGTCGAAAACGTCCGGAATCGTGGCAGAACATTTCATGGATTTTACACGATAATAATGCACCATTGCATTGAGCGACGATTATGACCGAGTTTAAAGTAAAAAAAATCCAATTAATGCCATCGATCATCCACCGTATTCACCAGATGCTGCATGGCACCACTGCTGCGGGTTGTCAGAAGTCGCATACGTGCGGCAACCGAGAGCCGACACCTCTTATTCCAGGATGTTAATCGACTCTCGTGCCCATTAGATGATTTGCAGCCATACTGCCGTATCGGGAAATAACGGTGTCCTTACCGCGTCCTTCAACAGCGTAGACCCGAAAGCTCCCCGCGTTGAGTCAAGGTTCGTAAAACAGAAAACAAATCAGTAGCAAAAAAAAAAGACGCCAATACGACGATATAGTCTACAACATCAGCACCGTTGCAGGTAAGGAGTTTGCAGGATCTAAACGGAAATTTATCTTCCTGGATGCCCTTTCATCAGAGGCGGGCGCTGTTTGACATGCCCGCAAGCAGCTGCGCTCTGCACGCGTAGTCGAATGCGGAATGAAAAGGCAACGCCTTTGACTCCCCGATGAGCGAAACCCCGACCGCAAACCAAGGTAGCGAAAATGCTGCGCCTTCGATAACTCAAATCCAAACCGCGAAACGGAAGAGTGGGAACATTACGCCACAGGAACCTCCTAGCTCTAAAACTGAGTGACAGCAGTGCATAAGCAGTCGGAAGCCACCTCCGTACTAAATCCCCCGGGGGGAGAAGAGACGGCGTAGATATGCGGATGCTCTCTGGCATCCAAATAACTATGCTGCCTCTTAACTATTCGGCGGAGACGTTTGCGCCGGAGGTGTGTACCTTACTCCAGGATTCCCTCATGGAAGAGGTGTTCAGAGGATCTGGAATACGCAGCGTCCTTCTATGGGGTCCACTTCAGAGGAGGCGTGCAGCAGGTGCACTGCAAGGAAGAAAGAGCCGCTACCTTGCTCCAGGAGATCGCTCCAAGGCCCCGTCCTTTGGGCAAAACTAGGAGACGACATTTCACCCATGCATAGCGGGGTGGGCAGGCGTATGAGTTTTCTCTCGTTCTGACAAAAAATCAGATCGAGAGTCTGGCGTGTAGTCAATATCAATGCGAAGACTCCGGATTGAGTAAAGCTCTGTATCGACGACGAGTCGTACAAACGTGCTGCTGATCCAAAAACCATGGGTCTACTAAGGTCAGCTCAGAAGCCTCAAGATACTGCTCTGTACCAGCTAACTTCATAGATAGATGGTTCGCTGGAAAGAGGGGAAGTAATGCTACATGTGTGCCTTCCTAGACATCTAGGATGCACACCACAATAGGTGAAACTCTAATACACTGCAAGAGGCTGCTCACAGGGTGGAGTGCTGTCTCGTCGACGCGACGTAGATACCTATCCGGCCTCAGGAACCTTCACATTGGAGGCAGAGAGATGACCAACAACAGATAATCGACCAGGTATTAAATCTTGGGACTGCACGCCAGGATAGACTAGCCGGTAAATCCTGAGGCTGCAAGCCAGGATCGACTAGCTGCCAAATCCTGGGGCTCCAAACCAGGATGGACTAGCTGTAAATCCTGGGGCTGAAAGCCAGGAACGACTAGCTGCTAAATCCTTCGACTCCAAGCCAGCATGAACTAGCCGTAAATCCTGGGGCTGAAAGAGCTGATCGACTAGCTGTAAATCCTGGGGATGCAAGAGCGGATTGACTAGCTGTAAATCCTGGGGCTGCAGGAGAGGATCGACTAGCTGCCA